GATTTTTTGATATCATTCATAATAGGCAGGAAAAAAAAATTAACCGAATTAATGTTTAACCACCAAAACCATAAAGAGTGCGGCCTTGGCGCTTAAGTGCATATACTATATTTAATAATAAACACCATGAAAAGAACATTAGCATTCAAAATATGATTATATATTGTATATACGAAATAACTTTAACTTACCAACATCAAGAGACGTAACAGTCTTGCGTTTTGCGTGCTCAGTATAAGTGACAGCATCCTTTAGGTACAATAATAATAAGAATACACGGTATGTTATTATATGAAGACCGTTCAGAAAAAGTTAAAACAAAAGTTTTCATCGGCGCCTTATTTTAAAAAAACGTACCCGAATAACATTTTCAAGGAAAACTTTTAAAACACCACGGGTCTCTTCATAGATAAGACCAGAGATACGTTTAACACCACCACGACGTGCTAGACGACGGATAGCGGGTTTAGTGATACCTTGGATATTATCGCGAAGGATTTTTCGGTGACGTTTGGCGCCTCCTTTTCCGAGTCCTTTACCACCTTTACCACGGCCGGTCATTTTTTATATAAGCGAAAATGAAGTTGTAAATATTTTTTATGATATGCAAAAGGTTGGTATTATTTTTGGTGTAGAAAAGGTGAATAAATAATAATAAAATATAGTAATTGTCACTGTGTAATGCATGTAAAAAGTATCATGATTATGATACGTTTATGAGATAAACAGCCATAATGCATTTGGCGTTATACAATTTTTAGTTTCCATTGTGAAATAAAAAAAAGTAAATTCATTACTGTAGTTATTTATAGGATAAATAATTATAAAACCACTTTGTTGAATAAATGTAATAATATATAATTAAAAGAAAATTGAAAGAAAATATATGATTTAATTTAAAATTCAATATTATAAACCTTATAATCTGAGAGTTAAGATTTTTTAAATTTTATTTTTAAATAAATTTTTTAATATTTTTAAAATTATTAAATATTGTTTAATTATTTTTTTGAAATAGAAAAGTATATTACTTTTTTTATATCAATATAAACAATTTAATAATAGTTAATATTGTAAACTGTTATATTTATATAATTAAAGGTATACAAGTTTATCAAAATATTTATTTTAATATATTTTTATAAATTTATAAAGATTTATTTAACAAAAAAAATAATTTAAAAAACTTTTTTAAACATATTATTATTATATTTATATTTTTTATATTTTATTAACTAGAGTCTTGTTCAATATACTTTTTTTTTTAACTAGTTAAACCTTGCTTAGCAAACTTTATCAAAGTTAATATTTATATATATTTATATACATTACTATATATAAACTATGTTATAATATTAGTTGATGGATATATACTAAACTATATTGAGATTTTTCTAGATATTGACTGTTGTTTTCATTTTTTTCTATTGAATAAAGATTGAAACCAATGTATCAAAATATCACTATTGTTTATATTATTGATATATAAATAATAGAAATTGTTTCTTATTATTTTGTTCATATTTCATATTTATTTTTTCAGTAACTTTCTTATCAAATTCTTCTTTTTATTTGTTGTTTTTCTCTCTCCTTTTTATTTTCTTATTTTTACTTAATATATTTTATATATTTGCTTTTTTTTATTAGTTCTACTAATATTATTTATTTTTTTTTATTTTATAATTTTTTTGTATCTTTTTTTTCACAATTCATTAATTAGTTTTATTATTTTGCTAATAATTCTTTTATATACTTCTTTGATTTTTTTTCTTATATATTAATAGATATATTATATTATATTTTTTGTTAATATTTTCTTAACTATATAATTTATTATATACTATAAGTTTTTGATTATTGGTATCTTTATTTCTATAGTATTCTTCTTTTTATTATTTTTTTGACAATCATTTATTTTTTTTTTATTATCTTTCTATATTTTTTTATAATTTTATAATTTCAATTCTTATCAGTTAAGGGGCATTTCCCTCCCGTTGTTGTTACACACAATATAAATTGT